GAGAGGGGAATGAAAATATATGTATATATACAATTTTCTCTCGCTTTATACAAATACAAACACATTTTATACATTTACGTTTGTATAAAAAGCGAGAGAGGCGAGGGAGAGAACGAGAGTGGCGAGCGAGATTCACCAGGAGAGAGGCGAAATAGTAACAGTTTGCTATGGGGTATAATTAAATCAAACTATATTTATAGCATTTAATTTGAATTAATAGTTTGGTCTTATATACAATTTTCCGTTTAAACAATTCTTTCTCTTTCTTCTAGATCTCGATAATAATAGGATGTGACAAAGAGGGGAGGGAGGGATGTATCTGAGAGGGAGATAGGATGTATCAACGAGAAGGGAGTGATGTATTCGTGAGGGGGTTTTTGAATTTTTTTTAATTGGTAGGGAATTTTAGAAATTATGATAAAATAAGATGCGTATTTAAGTAATTTTTCCATAATAATAACGTGAGCTAACATATTTTAGTCATGTAATTTGAAAATAGCCCTTGTTAATTAATTTTTTCGTTTCTAAATAAGTGATGTTTTTATTTTTTATTTTATATCAAAATAATTGATATTTTACATAATCAAGAAGAATTAATTTTTTTCTTCCAAAATCACCCTATTGCTTTAATATATGGAACTTTACATTATTAAAGAACCAACTCGTTTTTCAAATAATTTTATTAAGGATAAGATATTAAAACACTTCTTAAATTTCTTATTTTTTTAAAAGAAAGAATTGGAGGTAGGGGAAGAGGAAATGTTGAGGAGATTACAATATACAGAATCGAAACCAACCAACAAAATGAGAATTCAGATAGCCAATCATTAAGCTATACAATCTTATTTCTTTTTAAATTTTGTAGCCAATCAAATATTTTTACATGAATATTATTAATGACAAAGTTGTTCTAGAATCTTGTGTAGCCGTGTTGTTCTTTAATATTTCCTTATACATTTTGTCCAATTGTACCAAATATTCTCAAATAAAAGTCAAATTTCAACTAAAACAGAGTCCAATTTCATTGAAAGTTCTTTTCTTTTTTAAATCTTCTTTTCCTTTATTATTCACACATGTATAACCTGACTCGAGAGTATTAAAACATAATTTTTTTATTTGAATTTCAAATATGAAAAATTGTCTTTATGAGGTAGAAAATACTTTATCATCCGATAACTCATATAGTAATGTTTTTTTATTTATGTAAATCAAAATTTAATGAAGCTTCAATTTTAAATATTGATCAGACACTAGATGAAAAACGAAAAAAAAGACAATTATCTAGACGGGGGATTGAAATATTCCAACTAAACAGTGAATATGACCTAAATGGGGACAGGGAAAGGTGAAGTTTCATTTTCAGTGCAAATTAGTAGATGCAAAGCAAGTTCTTCACAAGAAAAAAATAATAATGTGAATTTATATGATATTTATATCATCTTTGTAAGAATATATATATATTACTAGGTAATTTTATGTGTTATAATATGTAACATATTTTATTGTATAAAGGGAAAAAGGTTTGAAAAATACTTCAACTTGGACAAAATTGTTGTTACGATACCAAATTTTATGGAGGACCTTTTACCCCTGCACTATTTAATAGTGTATTTTAAAGGTATATATGTGTCCACGTGGACACATTACTATTTATAATAATGCAATATTTATGATGTCCACATGGATACATATATACCTTTAAAATACACTATTAATTAAATAGTGCAAGGGGGTAAAAGGTCCTTTCCAAAGTTCGATATTGTTACAACAATTTTGATTAAAGTTCAAATATATTTTAGACCTTTTTTCCTGGTATAAACCATATATTCTAAGAAAGTTTTACCGGAAGATATATGAATTATGATAGTATAAAAAGTTAAATATAGTATACAAATTACAATCATCAGAATAATATTTTAGAAAATTCCATGCAAATTTGGCGACTAATATAAGCTTGACCAATATATATAATATAAAGTTTTTATATTTAAATGTTGAATTAGTTTATTCAAAGACTTATGTATCACTCCCACTTTCTCAGTGGTCCAATCCACAGCAACTATCCGAGTCTGCTACGCCTATCACAAAAAATATGTACAAATATAAATTTCGATATGTGTTTTGAAGTTTGAATAATTTAAATTTGTATTGAAAAATCTCACTTTGAAAAGGTAAAATGTTTTTTAGCTAAGACGATTCCTAATTTAGAGGTAAAGCACTCACGAATAGCTAGAGGGGGCAGAGTAGAGGTATTGTAACGAGGTTCATCTGAATTTTCCTCAATCTTAAAAAAATTACCCTATATATATTAAGTTAAAATTATATTTCTAGATTTTGCATTTCATTAATTTCTTCGTGTATTTACCTCTTTATATTTTGAACCCTCTTAAAGATGTTGACTCCACCACAATGGTAAACAACTACTAACAATTTGAAAACTCATTCCAGAATATTGAGAATTCGAACGTTATAAATTTGAATTGAGGATTCTATCTTAAATTATGGTTATAAATAAATTGACTGCAAACATTATAAATTGGTTATTAATATGATAAACCTAATTATTATCGAATATTTTAACTTAAAATCAATGTAAAAATTTATAAACTTTAAATTCTGAATCCGTCCTCGATAAATAAGTTCTAAAGCATGACTTCTTAATCCAAAATGATAATCCGCCTTTGAGTCAAACAACTATTTACCAAGTCAATAAATTCAACTTTATCAATTATTTTTTTATTTTTTGAAATAAAAATATTCCTCCGCGTAGCTTCCACCCAACTACAACTTTTTTATTCATTTCTTTTCCAAGAAATTTCCAATACATAATTAAAATCATTTTATATAAACTCAACAAACATTCTTTTTTCTCCATTCATCTACAAATTCAAAAAAAAAAAAAAACTTTTTCTTCTCTAAATATCTCTTAATTTCTTCTTGATTATTATTCCACCTCCTTTTTTGAGCAAAATACAATTTTTTTTTTATTAATTTGAAGATGAATTCAGTGAGATTATTGAATTTCTCATTTATAATTATTAGTTTCATGTTTATGGCACTTGTTGAATTCAGTTTTGGACAAAGCATGGCTCCTTCTTCTGCTCCTCCTCCTTCCAATGATGGTAAGTAATCATTTTCTTTCTCTAAAATTCGTCGAGAATCTGTTGTAAAATAGCTCGTAGCTAATGGTTTTCTTCTAAAATTCATTGATAATCTATCGCAACATAGCTCGTAGTTAATAACCCTTTTTAGTAGGTATATACAATTAAGTTGATAATGTAAAGAAATTTGTGCTCTAGTTAAGTGATTTTCTGTGCGAGTTTAACTTAAATACACGATAGTGTAAAGAATTTTAAAACTAACTCATATAAGTACATCTCTATAAAAAGTGGAGTTCTATATTCTTGAAATTAAGATAGATTACGTGCAATAACGATATAATAAGTTAAATTATATTGATAATATATATTTTTTAAAATAATATTCCTTTTCTATTTTTTTCGTAGATATATTTTATTGAAGAAATTATATTGATTTGATAAATTTGTTTTGCAGGCACAACAATTGATCAAGGGATTGCTTATGTTCTTCTACTTGTTGCCCTTGCAATTACCTACTTGGTCCATTAATTCACTCATATTGGAGTTTTGTTATATTTAGCTAATTAATTTATTCTTTCATAATATAAATTATTTATGTATTTTTCTCCTATATTCAAAATGGAGAAATTTCCAATTTTTTTGTGAGTAAATGAAATAAGGAATGGTTACATATTATTTGTGATACAATCTTTTTCCTCCACATTATTGTTATCTATTGCGCCTTTTTGAACCACCAAAACGTCCATCCAAAAAATATTTTTTTTAAAAAGAGAAGAAATTCAACATTCAAGCAGAAACAATATAGAGTTTTATATATGAAATAAATAAAAATATTTTTGTCTTCCTTCAAAATATATCATATCCCGAATCTGATGAAATATAGGTGATGAATTGTAACGCTATTTTATTATAAGTACGTAATTATCCTTCAAACTCAAATAAAATGTGTCGATAATATAGATAATATCACTTTGTTGAATTTCTTTTGATTACCACGCAGAAGACTATTCCTATTTATATTTCTATTATATAGAAAGGTGAAGAGAGAAGACTATTCCTATTTATATTTCTATTATAAGAAAGGTGAAGAGAGGAGACCAAGGGCATTTTTGTCAACCAAAAAAAAATTTCAAGCTTAATTTAATTGTACATTGCGCATAAAGTATTAAAATTTCCAGAAAAACCAACCAAAAATTATATAATTCCCAATGTATCCACCACTAAGTCAATAGTTATGGATTCTAATGTCCACACGTGTACCAATACATTGGGAGGAGTAAAAGAAATCATTGCAAAGTTACATGGACCCCATTTATTGATTTACTTCAAAAGCCTTTACATTCAAGCTGCTACATTTTTTAAAAAAATCTTTTTTATTTTTGAATGTATAATTTTTAATGAGATTTTTTCATACCAAAAATTCAAATGTGAGGGCTTTTAATCATTTCCTTTCTTAGTGTGGTTTGGTCATGAAAAAAAACTGTTTATTTTATTTAAATTTCAAGCTTAATTTAATTGTACATTGTGCATAAAGTATTAAAATTTCCAGAAAAACCAACCAAAAATTATATAATTCCCAATGTATCCACCACTAAGTCAATAGTTGTGGATTCTAATGTCCACACGTGTACCAATACATTGGGAGGAGTAAAAGAAATCATTGCAATGTTACATGGACCACCATGTTCATAAGTAGACACATAATATTGTATAAAATTGAACAAGTTGACACTTGTGTTCTACTTGACGTCCTACATGACAATATAATTCACGTCCTATGCGACATTTTATGTGGCGACTACGTGTGTTATTCCTCGTAGAATGCGTGTGTCTACTTCTCAACTCTATAAAATTTTAAGTGCTTACTTGTGCACACCTTAAGTTGAATGTCATAGATGTTAGACAAAGTCAAGTTAAAAGATATATTTATATATTATGTTTTTCTAAATATGGTTTATATTCTTCAGTTTCTAAAAATTACTTGACTAATTTACCTAAAACATACAACCAAATTGCACTAAATAAAATAATATCTCAAAATAGATAGTTGTATAATGTCATAGATTAGATCTCATATAAGAACTACCACATACTATTACAAAAAAAAATCACTTTATTTAATTTTTTGAAGTTGAACTTGTGTTAAGCTATTGATTTTGCAAATAATATTTGATTATTTGAATGTGTTTTTTTTTAAAAAAAATGGGGTCATTTTTATAAGAATAAATAATTTGTGATAAAAATTTAAAAAGGATAATGTAGTTAGGGGCCGTTTGGTTATTTGTTAGAGTTATGCATATATTAGTTATGCATGGTGTTAGTTATGTTGGTATTAGTTATGTTGGTATTAGTTATGCAAGTATTAGTTATGTAGGTATTACTTAGTTATTAATTAGTGAATATATTATTTACAATTAATAAGCAAGCAAATAGTATAATTTCCCAAAAAAAAATAAAGAAAGAAATCTTCTCTATACTTAAGTGGAATTTCTATTTTTCTCTCTCTAAAAACATAACTCTTTCTGTGTTTTGAGATTATTACTCAAAAATCTTTCTCTTAAAAGAGATGGTACTCAAACTGCTCAAAACTCTTTTGAAAATCTTAGTTTCCTCTTATTTTAAATGTAAAACATTTACTCTTGGGAATACTTAGTTTCAATATATCATTTTAAAAGAAAATGAACTCAGTTCTACTCTTCCTCAACTCATATGCTCAAGTCTTAAAATAAATTTAAAAAAGTTTAGCAAAAGACTTCTTAAAATAGGATTCATGCCGAATTATGGACGTGAATGACTCAATTCAAGGACTTAATTAATGATACCTCTCATCTTAAGACTGTTCGACTCATAGGGTTCATGCAGAATTATGGGGCTGAACTGCTCAACTCAAGGACCTTCATGGGTAACATGTAGTAGCCCCATGATTAGGAATATAATCCCTAAATGATTAGAAACTCAATACTCAAGACTTAGAACTTGAAGATACTACTCCTCTCAAAGATACTCAACTTATGAAGTTCATACGGAATTTATGGGCATAAATGACTCGACTCGAGGGTCTAAATAACAATATGGAATTCATGTATATGATTCTTCTCATTCTCATACTTACTTCCTCAAAACTTAGCTCAAATCAATAGTTGATCTCAAAGGATTCACAATTGAACTCAAAGACTTTCTTGAACTCTACTCTTAGCTCTTTCTTGAATTTGAATTTTGAATTATGAATTATGAATTAAAGAGTTATGATTCATGATATGAAGGATCTCGATGATAGTGTAGACTCATGCATACATTTTCATCATTCTCATACTCACTTACTCGAGTCTTGAAACAAGTTATTAGAAATTATAGAAGACTCTTCAAAAGACTCAAAGGGACTTTCTCAAAAGACTTGAAAGAACTCTCAAGACATAACTCTTGGCTATACCTTGAATTTGAATTATGAATTATGAATTCAAGGTTATTATTTGTAGTAGGAAAGATATTGTAATGATTAAATGAGTTTTAGATAGTTAATCATGAGAAACGGTCAAGAAAACACTATCTGGAGCAAGTCCGCGACACATAGATGCATTTTAATATTTAATTGCAAAATAATATATTTAAGATTGTAATATTGGGCCCGTTAACGGGCCCTTTCATATCTAGTTTGTTTAGGAATGTGGTTCTAGGTACATGTAAAAAAATAAAAATAAAAATCTAATTAATCTTATCTTATAACAATATTCTAGAACATCTAAATATGTCACTTGGGTCATTTTTCAAATTCAACTTTACATTTTCCACAATATTTTCCTTTAAAATGATTTTTTGAAAATTCCAAGCTTATCGTGGGAGAATTCAAACGATGCTTTAGCAAGTAACTTGGTGTAGATATATCGATAATTTATTTTTTTTGATTTCACACTTGTAAATTATAATTTTTTTATGATACATACCATCAATAACTTAAATATGACATTTTGATTGTATCCAAACATCAAAATTGAACTTAAAACACAAATCGGGTATGGGGAATAAAAAACAATATTACAATACAATTAGAATAAGGCTATTACTATGACAAACAATACTCCACTATCTTCTATCCTTCTATTTTAATATGTGACCTCCACACACTCTTATCTAGCTAGGATCATGTCGATAAGCTGCAGTCTTGTCATATCTTGTCTATTCACCTCTCTCCAATATTTCTTCCGCCTACCGGCCTCTCTCCTCGTACCCACCATATACAACCTCTCACACATCTTCATTGGAGTCTCTGTTCTTCTCTTGATCACATCGCTTTCCTCATCTTGTCCACCACAGAGGTAAATCCCGCCTTGTCTTGAATATCCTCATCGTAATCATATCGTTTCTAGCATGTCCACTCATTCATCTTTTTTGGGAAAAATACTACAATATTGATATTGGATTGGAATTACAAAGTAGTAAATAGCTTATTACAAATACTGTGTCATGGCAAGCCACTGCCTTGAAAGCGATTTCGGCCCGACTCCGGTGCAAATCGTAGTAGCCGGTCGCTCCCCAAGGTTCCACAGTTACTCTCAAACACGTGCACTCGTGGCTGAAAGTTTGGAGATTGACCAAAACTAATTGCCCAAAAATATTCTAAGAATAAGCTTAAGAAAAGAAAGGAGGAAAAACTTTTTCTCTTCTTTTTTGGTTTTGTTGTATATCTCTTATGCTCACAAAAGGTCATGCTTATATAGATATTTCAAGAGGAGGAGTTTCAAATAGAAGAGTTAATTTTTCATTTTGAGAAACGGATTGTCAAGGTTAATGGCATTAAAGGTCATTACTTCACTTTTACAGAAACCCCCTTGTTTGTCTTTTGGAACGGTTATGTTTTCTCCTTTGAAACGTATTGTTATTATATCTTTGCATTAGACTTAATTAGCATAGTTAGAATTAACCCAACTATAGAATTTACTCAACAATCCTAACATCTTCATTTCGGCAACTTGCATCTTTTGAACATGGAGTTCTTGATTGACCAACACTTTGCTCCATACAACAAAATCGGTCTTATCAACAGTCAGCTTCACACAATTAGTACTATATCATCTGCAAATGACACACACTCTGACACCTCATCCTGAATATACCATGTCAATTTATCCACCGATACCAAACCAAAATTATCAAAACGAAAATTTCAATATTGTGCCATAACACACACACACCCCACCCCCACGCAACAGGGAAATAGTAATCCGTCAATGAATCAAATGTCTGCCACAAGTCAAAGTCAATAAAATCAACTTTCGTGAATTATTTTATTTTATTTTGTCAATTAAAATAGTCTAAAGAGTAGCTTTCACCTAACTACAACTTTTCTCTTTGTTTTCTAGAAAATTCAAACCCATAATTAGACGCTTATATAAACTCAACAAATACTCTCATTTCTTCAACAAATCTCTCTTTAAACTCCAAAAAAAAAAATATTCTCCAAAATACAAATTTGTTCCTGAATTTGAAGACGAATTCAATGAGATTGATGAACATTTCATTTACAATTATTGGATTTATGTTATTGGCACTCGTTGAGTTTGGTTTTGGACAAGACATATCTCCTTCTTCTGCTCCTCCTCTTTCTAATGACGGTATTTAAACATTTTTCCCTAATTCAATCTACTCGTAAAATTAGTTGATAATATATGGCTAAATAGTTTCCGAGT